CCCGTCTCTCGGGACTTTAAAAAGGCTTTAAGAGGAGCTTTAAAAAGGTCCTTTTGTTTGCTTTGTTTTGTTACTTTGTTCCATCCTCTTCAGTACTTCTGGTCCTGAAGCTGGCTGCTATTTCAAGTGTGAAATGAATAGTCAAAAAAAAAAAATACGCTCTGGGTAGATACAGGCAAATTGGAAGTGTTTACATTTGGAAACATGTACATCGATTATATGAAGTAAGTGAAGAAAGGGAAAAAATGTGATTACTTCCGTAATACAGATGTGAAGAGTGGGGAGAACAGTGATGCCTTCAGGCGGCATAGCGCCATGTTATATTTTATGAATATTTATGGTGACTTAAACACCATTTTTCTGTGTATAAGTGTACTCCGCTTCTAATTCCTTAAAATGTGAGCGGCTGCTTGAGGGAGCTTGCTTATTTCCCTTTAGATCACAGTGACTATGTCTTGGCTATTCTGAAATGAAAGAGCCAGCTGGATTTATGGCAGGCTTGATATTTTCTGCAGGTCAGTAGCTGCCCGTGGGTGACATGAAGTGTAACATAACTTTTAAAAATAATTCTGTATTCAATTTTAAGCAATTCGATTGTTTTAGATAGAGGTATTAATTTAAATGAGATTTTGAAATTCTCCTTGCTGTGATACTTGTGATACCGTATCTTTTAGAGAGATTCTCTGTCTCCTTTTTCTTTTTTCAAGAAGGAATCCACCATTATGTATTGAAACTCTCTCACTCCTCTTATTTGGAGAGTGAGGGAAGAAAGCAAATGGAGTACAGTTGTACCTGAAATTTAGTACATTTTCTCACATTTTCATAATTGTGGTTTGAAAATGGGTTGGATCAGCTGCTGTCAGAAAAAAAAAAAAAGGCTTGATAGAATTCACTTTCATTTGTATACTTTTCTATAGTATTCTTTGAAACATCTTGCAAAGATTAAAGTTCTTATTATGACGGTATCCATACTAATTGATGTAGGTTGTTTCATTTTTTAAGGTAGGAGACCTAAAACAAAAGGAGGTTAACTGAGGGAAACCAATAACTTTAGAAGGATTGACAATAAGATGGTGTGTGGGTTACAAAGTCATCTTTCTTACTAAATAAAAACAACGGAGTTGCACCAGCAGAAGTCACCGAAGCACCAAAACACAGTATGCTGCTTTTCCCCGGGAAGTGTAGCTAGCTAGTTATCTGTGTCTGAATAAGCATTTCCCACTTCGTTGGGAAATCCTGTCAGTGTGTTCCAAGGCAGTTCAAAGCTGTTTCTGATTTTCATTTTGACTTCTAAGAAGAGTAGAGTTTGAAACATATTTGATCTAGCTGTTCTGGTGAAATGATTGACAAAAATTTTATTCGCTGCTTAAAATTCTTCATTTCAGTATCTTGCAAGTAGTAAATGCGGCCAGTATGTTGACACTGGAATTCTAGCATCTGACTTGCAGAAAACATACAGGTGAGCAAAGATTTGTATTCTTATATTCTACATTCAAAATATGGACTATATTTATGTTGGTATTTTGCATTTGTGTATTTTTAATCAAAATTTTAATTTTCTTTACATTAACTTCATTACCCGTTGTTGAGGTTGATTGAAACAAGATCACTTCCACTCCAGTGTTTTCCTCTGCTGATATGTCTAGTAACATATTTTATTAATGCATTGGCATTGCAAGATCTAGTTGTGGTTTGTTTTTTGTGGGTTGCTTTTTTTTTTTTAATTAAACAGCTACAGATGCATTACAGCATGTTGGTCCGAGCTTAAAATATGAGGGGAAAATAACGCTTCAGTGCAGGCAGCTGGGGGAGTTACAGGATTCAGTAAGATACTAAATCTTGCTCAGTTGCTCAGCAGGACAGTCAGTCTTGCCTAATTATTTTTAGGCTGTTTCGCTTTTTTGGGTGGAGAGCAGATCATTGGTGGGTGCGGGAATTAATGAAGGTGGAGAAGTATATTCATTTGTGTTTGCATGTTCTATTTATTTATGCCTTGTTAGAGAAAGGGAGCCAAAACCCTTGCTTAGGATGCTTACAGGTCTTGGCTTTTTGTTTTGTTTTTCCTTTGTCAGCTACTGTATAAAAGCAAATAAATAAAATATACCCTCAGTAAGTAAAGGTAAAAGGTTGATTTTTGTTTGCATTTAAGGATGCTCATAGAATCAGATGAATCAGATTTTTCTCATTTTTTCCTCATTTTCTCATTATTAATTAGAACAGTTATTCCTTGCTGGACTGTTCTTTCTAGACCGTAGTCCTGTGTCCATATGTTCTTGTCTGAATTAAAATTAAAAACCCGGGAGTGTTGTGAAATAGAATCCAGTGTGCTCACTTGTACATTGCTGCTTCTCTATAGCTACAGTTAAAGAGGACCTTGGTAATTTTTACTAAACATCCCTTTAGAGACCAGTATAGTTTAGTGGTTTTGTTTCATCCCAGTGATTGAGCTATTCCAGGCTTAAGAAAAAAACAATCACGTTTTCACATAGTTGGTTTTTAATAAAAACTTGCGTAGAAGCTTGGGTATCAACTTACAATGTATTTTTTTCTCTGAGAATGGCATTATGTTGAGGGGAAAAAAGCAGTTGGTGTAACCTGTTTATTTTGTTTTTTTCAGTGCAGAATATGGACGAAGAAAAAGAAATGCTTTTAGAATACAAGTTGAAAAAGGTAGTTCTGTTAGTGTTATGTCCAAGATGCCAAATTCTTTGATTACACTTTGCCTGTTTTCTTACCATATTTGAACTTTTTCTTTCAGTGTTTGGAATAATTAATAATGAAAAAGAACGCAAAGATTTAGCAGTTTTAGAAGCTGAACATGTGGCAAAAAGAGCAAGACAACAAGAGAAAAATGAGTAAGAAGGATTTTTACCATTAGATTACTTTAATAATGCCATTAGTATTATCATTTCTTTAAAGCTTTCTGTCTTCATATTATTAAATTTTTGGTAGTTTCAAGGTTACAGATAGATCCTTGATTTCCCATAGCTTTAATAATGCCATTAGTATTATCATTTCTTTAAAGCTTTCTGTCTTCATATTATTAAATTTTGGTAGTTTCAAGGTTACAGATAGATCCTTGATTTCCCATAGGCTTGTCTTAATCAGAAGTTACCTGTACTTAATGGAAGCATTTTTTTCACTGAAGAGAAGCAGATACTAGAGCCAATCATGACTTTTCTGTTATGGGGAACATACAGCCCTGAATTAGTGGATATCCTTGGGGCTTCCTTGATAGTTTTCCACATAAGGCCCCAGTCCTCATGTGATTCAGTTCCTTTTTGTTCTTAATCTTTCTTGGGTGTGAGATACACTGGCTAAATCTGGGAGATAAGACTACAAGACAGGCTATTCAGAGTAAATCGCCACTGGGTATGAGATTGGAATTAAGATTTCCTAACTCTTAACCCTGTGCATAGTTTCACGGACCATTCTGGTTTCTCTAACCTGATATAGATACTAAGGGTCTCATGGGCAATTACGGCACTGTAATCAGAAGGGCTAGTCTAGTTCAGCAGTGATTTGCTACCGCTTCCCTTGTGCCAGCATTGGTGATTGTGTGGTCTCTTGGTGAACTGAATCAGATTGATCTGACATCACTTTTTTTTTTTTAGGACTGTCTTTCAGCCAGGTTGCCAAGTTGATCCAACTCATCACAGGCTTGGAAAGGATGCATTTTTTTAACTCTTCATAGTAGTAAATTTAGAGCATGCTAGTCAGGAGTTTTTCTCCAGTCTTAGGCTACCTATCATGGGTGTGGGGAACCATGTTGTGGAAATTGCATTTGTTCTGTTTTGTGGGTGTATCACTTGCAGTTCTGCTCTGATACATTAATAGTTTTTGTCTTCCTTCCATGTAAAGGACTGCAGGAAGTGCCACAGATCTCTCCGATTATGATGATTATCCAGAAGATCTAGTAAGTTGTATTTTATTATGATTGTTTGTATTTGCATAACACCTGATTCTATGTGGTGAAATTGCAACGCACTTGGAGAGTTTAAAAGTAGAGATGAAGATTAGGTATAGCCAGAGTTGGCAATTCCAACTGAGAATCTATAGAGCTAAAAGGAGGCTATTTTCTGAAGAAAAAGGAAGAACCTGTGGTGGGGAATCACTTCTGAGGAAAGCACGCTGGGGGCCCAAAAGACTTGGCTAGCAAATGAATGAAATGGTTGAAGGAACTGACACATCTGACTATTACTTGCAAAGACTGTTGCCTCTTCAACCAGGTGTAGTTTTGTATGCAGTCATTTGATTTGCAGAGGAGTGGGTTGGAAGATGCAGGACTGCTTTCTCCAGTGAGGATGCTAACTGGGGTTTATGAAAGTTTTCATTGGTCTCGTAATATAAATAATCCAAATTATAACTTGCATATTTTCTTTTAAAATACATGAATCTGCAGTCTACAAATCATATGAACAGTTCCCTGCTGAGCTTATACAAGAAAGGAAATCCCGATTCTGTTCCAACCACTCCAAAAAATGAACCAATGGAAACCCCCCCTCCTGTGCGAACAGCTCCTCAAACAAGCACCCTCTCACCAGGAGCAAGAGTCGAAACACGCATCTCTGAAGGGGGCTGGTTCATTGATAAAACTCCGTGTGGAAAAGACTTTTTCATTGACCTTTCTGAGGATGGAGAAGGAGATGAGAAGAAACTGATTTCTGAGGTATTGTGTTTTACAAGCTCAATGGGATTTAAGTAGCAAGTATGAATATAATTTCCTGTGTGATTTGACAGGCTTTTGAAGGGTGATACTAAGACCAAAAGGACTGTTTGTCTTTCTGGATTTTTAAAATATATTTTTATTACAAACACTCATACTGTGTTTAAAGATAGTGAATGTGTGAAATAGAAAGGAAAGATTGGCTTAAGCCCAGTGGAGTACTTGGTTTTAGCTTGGTTTCTGAAGAAGAAAGGGCTTACCCCATTTTTCTGCTCTGTCAGAAGCGATTTTTGAACCTTCTGGCCCATTTCAAGCATGTTTGTATAGGAGGTAAAAAGTCACAAAATTATGAATTTCCTCCACACTTTTTGAGGAAAATGCAGTGCTCAGTATTTAGGGAGACCCAGATTAGTGCCCGTACTGAGAAAAAGATAAGTGGAACTTGGCTGGTATTTATTCCGTTTGCCAGTGACCAGCCTAACTAGTCAGGAAGCACGTGGCTTGCTGTAGCCGTAGCATGGCTGTAGCCGTAGCATGTAGTCTGCCTTGGCCAGTGGCCAAGTCTTAGTGAGCCTGGGGAAAGCTGAAGTTTTTTGGATGGATAAGAGTTGGGGAAGTTGAAAGGAAATTGCATTGATTTATAAAGCAGTTAAAAATAGGTCCTACTCCCCATCCAGACTTATTGCCCACTTCATGATTTTCCTCCCCTCCCCCAACTTTTTTTTTTTCTTATTTAGAAAAAACCAACTTTGTTCAGCTATTGAAAACTTTCTGTTTATGTATGGGAGATAACATTTATGTTGTTTGGCTGACCAGACGTTTTGGCAGGATGCTCTTTTTTATGTGAAGGAAGAACTACATTTACATCTACCTTTCTGATTACACAAAATGCTTACTGAATAGGCAGATTTGACAAATTATCCCTTTATACATGGTAACTGAATACAAGGCAGATCCTCAAATTGTAAAATGTTTGCCATACTGTATTCTAAAAGAAAAAAATCCCAACCCAAAAACCTAACTTTCGTTGAACCTCTTTTTTTCATCTCTCCTGTATTAGCCCTTTTCTTACATGTTAGTTAACTTGTGTCAGCACTGAATAATATTTTCTTACAGCCACTCATGACTTACTAGTAATAAAAATTGTTTCCATTGGAGTAAATACATTGATACAGTTTTATTCATCCCCAAAGTGGATTGCTCTATGGTATGCAAATAACTGGTGTCTGATTTTGGTTAGTGGTTTTGGGGGTTTTGGGGAGGGGTTGTTTGGGTTTTTTTTGCTTATAAGTATGTACTTTTAG